TCCCCAAAGCCAATAAAAGTCAATAAATAGATGTCTTTCCATGGTGACATATTTCCCCCTTTATTGAACTAGTTCCAAAGTATTACGGCTCCATACAGAACTGAATAAATACAGACCTTAGAAGTCACTTTGTGTGCATTTAAAACCCTTTCATTCCAGAAGCAAAGCAACTACCCATTCCATGATGAAAAGTTAGCTTTTGTTTGAGTCAAGCTGTATAGACAATTGGCTACTATGTACAGAAGTGCTTTCAATATTCCTTTATTGCTTTTAAGGGAATGTAATTGGTTTGGATTGAAAGAAATCTGATGCAATCAAATGCTTGGAGGAGCAGAAAATTCTTCTAGCACAGTGGTAGAATAGCCACTGTGGTACCCTGCAGATGATGTTGGACTCCAGTTCCCATAAGCCCCAGACAACATGGCCAGTGGACAGGGATGACAGGAGCTGTAGTCCAAGAACATATGGAGGACTGCAGGTTTCCCCTGGTGACAGGAGCAAGCCACCAGTAAACCACACTGAGCAAGTTGGAGTTAAGTCTTTATTAGCAAAAACAGGGTCTGCACAGGAGTATCAGGCCTAATAAGCACAGCAACTCATCCTTGGTAGGTTGCTGAGACTGAAGGTCTCCTCATCTCCACAGCTGCATCCTCTGCAGGGTTTTCCCCAAGCAATTGGAGACTGTGCCTGCATGAAGCTGACTTCTCCACTGCTCTCTTCATACCTCTCCTGGTTCTGGGACATCAGGGGGAGAGGAGCTTGCAGCAGGAGGGAGAGACACCCATGTCTCTTCACCAGCCAGACTCATCTCTGCCCCTGGGCCTGCTTGCTCTCCTGCTTCAGCTTCTTACTCTGAGTCTGGACTTATCACTGCCACAGACTCTCCCCTCTCACTAAGCCCTGTTACCTCTTCAGCTTCCGACACCTCTTCCCAATCTGCTCCCTCTGATCACTCATCATCGTCCCACCACCATTCCCCTGGCTGTGAGTCTTCTACCCTTAGGGGTTCCCCAGCTGGTTCTTCCCACTATTCCTCTGCGTCCAACCAGTCTGTGACACCCAGGCCTGCTCTGTTGTTGTTGTTTAGTCGTTTAGTCGTTAAGTCATGTCCGACTCTTTGTGACCCCATGGACCAGAGCATGCCAGGCACTCCTGTCTTCCACTGCCTCCCGCAGTTTGGTCAAACTCATGCTGGTAGCTTTGAGAACACTGTCCAACCATCTCGTCCTCTGTCGTCCCCTTCTCCTTGTGCCCTCCATCTTTCCCAACATCAGGGTCTTTTCCAGGAGTCTTCTCTTCTCATGAGGTGGCCAAAGTATTGGAGCCTCAGCTTCAGGATCTGTCCTTCCAGTGAGCACTCAGGGCTGATTTCCTTCAGAATGGATAGGTTTGATCTTCTTGCAGTCCATGGGACTCTCAAGAGTTTCCTCCAGCACCATAATTCAAAAGCATCAATTCTTCGGCGATCAGCCTTCTTTATGGTCCAGCTCTCACTTCCATACATCACTACTGGGAAAACCATAGCTTTAACAATACGGACCTTTGGTGGCAAGGTGATGTCTCTGCTTTTTAGGATGCTGTCTAGGATGCTGTCTAGGTTTGTCATTGCTCAGGCCTGCTCTAGCACATGCTTATGCATAAGGGGAAGAACACCTTCAGAATTAGTTTCACTGCTCTCATGCAACACTCAAACCTGAAGTATAGAACAGCCTTTGCAATTGAATGTGTTTAAATCAGGAGCTTAACTTGTATTAGGACATTATTTATTGTGGAAGCCGATACTGGGGTGTGGGTGGGTGTGGAGGTTTTATATAGTTTCAAAGACTGCCTTCACCAATCTCATTAGAAAGAATATCTGATGGCTTATCCTTTAGAAGATATAATTAAATTAAAGTTCTTGGAACAAGCAGGTCTTCGCTGTTCTTCATTGGGGCCCAAACTTTCAATACTGCCTTGCAGTGCATCAAAGTAATTGCTAGTTGCTTCTGCTCAGGTTTGTGAAACATTTGGTTTGGTTTAGGAAATGTTTTCAAAAGTAATAGATAACTTGGCCATGGTGAAGATGATGAAATCAGATAAACCAGGCACAAGACTAGTGGGGGGAAATAAATAGTGGCTGCTGCCACTATATAGTGGTACTTAACTGGACTAAATAATATTGACCAGCTGTTCATGTTTTTGAATGCAGAACATTATTTACCGTATTTTTTGCTCTATAGGATGCACCCGACCATAGGACGCACCTTGTTTTAGAGGGGGAGAACAAGAAAAAAAATTCTCCCCCTCTCTGCTCAGCACCCCTTCAGCGAAGCGGCAGGAGAAACGGAGCCCCTTCCATTTCTCCTCCCGCTTTGCTGAAGGGGCACTGCGCAGCTCTCCCTCTCTGCTGAAGCCAGGAGAGTCTTGCTCTCCCAGCTTCAGCAAAAGGAACCCGAAGCCTTTGGAGTGCAGCGCGAGTTCCTGCTGCGCTCCAAAGGCTTCAGGGATAGCTGCCTGAAGCACCAACCCCCCTCGCTCTCCAGGCTTCAGCGAAAGCAATGCGAAGCCTCAGGAGCGCAGAAGGAGCACTCCCTCTGTGCTTCGGAGGCTTCGCATTGCTATCGCTGAAGCCAAGGAGCCTGCCTTCGCTCCATAGGATGCACACACATTTCCCCTTAATTTTTGGAGGGGAAAAAGTGTGTCCTATAGAGTGAAAAATACGGTAAGTATTAGGCTGTTGAAAGAATTTTACAGTTTATTACATTTCTCTTTCACAAAATTCTCTAACCAAGGATAGGGAACCTGTGGCCCTCCAGATTCCCATCATCCTTGACAATCAGTCATGATGACTGATGGGAGTTGGAGTCCAAGATGGTCTGGAGAACACCAGGTTCTGCATCCCCGGTATTAAGCCTTATCACCAAACCTGCAGTAAAGTTTTCTGCCTAGATAAGATTTCTCACTGAGGAAACAACATCCACCCATAAGTCACTGAACAACTTAATTTCCTGCCTCGAAACCTATCGCTTGCTGCTTCCCAGCTTAAATATATATATACATGTATTTTGCAAGTATAAATGGATGCCCTTAATTTTAACAATTCACAGCTGCAAAATATGTGAATTATTAAAGTCAAGGGCATTCAACTTTTTTGCCAGCCTTGCTTTCCCTATGCTTTTGCAGCAGTCAAAACCTTTATTAAGGCAAAGAGACTAGATAGCTTAGCATTTTAGCATAGTCACAAATGGGACGGGGAGTTTAAATATGCACTGTCTTCTTCTGCTGCTCCTACAAGGGTCAGTTTCTGGAATTTTTGGGGACACCGTTTCTGCTTCTTGATTTCTTTTCAGGTCCGTGCAAGCTAAAATCAAAATCAAAGCCAAATCTTTTGTTGTTGTTGTTCAGCTTCTGAAGCAGCAATGAAGCATTTGTCCTTGATGTGTGTCCAAGTGATCATAGGCCAAAGATGCAAAAGCAGCCAAGAAGATTCATATCCTATCTGGAGACTTTGAATTTTGACACACACACACAAAAGTCCATTACACATCTGAATTGTGTCTGGTTTCATTTCCACCCTCAGCCTCTTAATTTAGTCTGGCTTCCTGAACTAAAAGTATTTCACAGATGTTTGCTGCATGCTCCCAGGCGTCCCAGAATTTGTTTCCGCCCTCTGTGAAAGCTTCCCTCAACATACACAGGAGTCTATTGTGCATAGACCTGCCAAGGCTACTGTGTTGTCCCCTCCATTTCCATGGGTATGGAGGGGTTCTCTCCATCTCTCTCTCTCTCTCTCTCTCTCTCTCTCTCTCTCTCTCTCTCTCTCTCATATGTCACATGACCTTCCAGCTTGCCATCCAAGAAGCAGCAGGAGTTAGTGCAAGTTCAAAAACCTTCCTTCTTCAAGAACAGACAGACATTATACATCACACCAAGAAAAGAGAGGGAATGCATCCTTTAAAGACGCCATGGAATGGCATAAAAATGCATTATGTATAAGTAAACTTTTAGGGGGGAAAATACTAGAATTCAGTAGAAGTAGATAGGGGAGACTGCAATAAAGTGGCCTGTGTGCCTGCATAGTGATGATGATGTTGATGCTGATGATCATTTTTATTACCACGATTAAAATGTATAGACCACTTCACAGCATAAACCCATCAAAGTGGTAAAATACAGAAACAGAAAAATAATCCAACAAACCCAAAAACAATAAAACCATCCATTCAAACTCAAAAAAATAACAGGACAATTGTTGATGGGCAACTTCATCACCCACATTCTGCTTTCTTGTGGTTAATAATAATAATAATAATTTATTATTTATACCCCACCCATCTGGCTGGGTTTCCCCAGGCACTCTGGGCGGCTTCCAACAATTGTAAGAGATCAAGGATGCCAAGCGATCCTCAAAAAAGACCGCGGGCTTTGCTGAAAAATAAACACATATTCAACTAACCATTGCCTCCCATCTAACCTTTTTTTAAAAGAAGAAGAAGAAAGAATCAGCCTTAGCCATCTGTTTCATAGCACCTTTGAAGGTGCACATGAGTCTCCTTCCCCAATTTGAAATAAAATAATTATATGATCTGGACAGGCCTAAGGAAATGTTGACCTCTGGTCTTCATTTGATTTCTTTATTCCTATTTTTATTAATTAAACGTTGTTATGTGGCTTTCATTATTTTTTTGCAAGCAGCCTTGTGGTACCCAGTAACTGGCATTCAGAAGTATTGCTTTCTCCAACGATGGAGACAGAGCGTAGCCATTATGGCTAGTAGCCATTGATAGCCCTGTCTGCTATTAATTTGTCTAATCCTCTTTTAAAGGCATACAAGCTGGGGGCCACCCCTGCCTTCTGGGGGAGCAAGGTCCGTCGTTTAGCTTTGCACTGTGTTGAAGAAGTCATTTCTTTTATCTTTCCTGAATCTTCCAACAATATGTGTTGTTGCTGTTTGTTAACAAGTGATGGGAGATTAGCTAATAAAGCTTCTTTCCCACCTCCCCTCCTTCTTCCCTAACTAGGAGAGTCTGCCAGCCTCATTATGGAAGAGCACAATGGCTCTGCAGAGAGTCCCCAGCTGAACCAAGGACGGCATGTTGCCATTAAGTGTGGGTGGCTGAGGAAGCAAGGAGGCTTTGTGAAGACTTGGCACACGCGCTGGTTCGTTCTTAAAGGGGAGCAGCTCTTTTACTTCAAAGATGAGGACGAAACCAAACCCTTGGTAAGTACAAAGCAAGAGGGTGCAAGGTGAGGTAGATGGGTGGGCAATAAGGGACTGTGGCGTTTGCCCTCCTATGTGTGTGACATCATACCGGGTTCATAGGGAAAGGGTTAACTAATTGTAAAATGACTAACCAATGGGAACCCAGGGGGCAGAGTTAACTTGTATAAGGTATAAGCACAGAGGTTAGTTAGAAGGAGTTAGACTTGTTGAGAAGTCAGTCTGGAGTTAGAAGAGACAGAGAAGATAAGTCTGTGGCTTGGGCTAGTCTGGTGTGAGAGAGTGAGAGAATATGTTAAGAGGAGTCAGTCAAACAGTTGAGATAATCAGTCAGAAGGTATTAGGAAGGTATAGGCCGGTAAAGAAGCTAAAGTTAAGATACTGACAGGAAGATTATCTGAGAAACCATAAACTTGTTAATGTTTGTAAAATAAACTTCTTGTTTTTTTGTTTCACTTTTAACAACTGACTGGACTCAGTGTTTTACCAGAGAATAACTGGTTGATGTCAGTGGGGAAGCGAGCACAGTGGTGGAACAGGGATCAATAGACCATTAAACGTCCAGGGACCCTGTGTGATCATCACAGGGACCAACAGGAAAGGGGCGGAAACTTGTTTGAGCTGTTATATGCTCCAAGCACAAGGATGGCTACCAACCTGATTGTGATGTGAAAGCATTTGGCTTTGTAAGAGAGAGGGAGCTGACCCACCCTCTCCTTTGGTCCAGCCCACCCAGAGCATTTTGGTATGGAATTCCATTAGAGAAGAATGTTGGGAGTCTGTCACAGAGGGCTTCTGTGCCAATCTCCAGCGTAAGATTTATCATTTTACAGTCATACATTTTGTTACGTTTGCTTCAGGTTAAATCTTTTCAGGTTGCGTCTCGCTGCAACCCGGAAGTACCGGAAAGGGTTATTTCCGGGTTTTGTCGCTCGCGCATGCACAGATGCTCAAAATGACATCACGCGCATGCGCAGAAGCAGCAAATCGCGACCCGCGCATGCCCAGACGCGGGTTGCATTCTGCTCATGTTGCGAATGGGGCTCCGGAACGGAACGGATCCCTTTCACAACCAGAGGTACCACTTTACATCTTAATCATAAAACTCCAAAATCTTCTACCACTGTGGGCAGTGGTCTCAAGTCAAAGAAGCAAGAAAGGAAAAAGAAAATGTAGAAATTTCTTATGAGTGGGGGTGGTGTGGTTATGTGTTGCTTCCTAAATAATAGTGAGAAGGAAGTTGGGCATTTATTTTTTTAGTGCAAAGTATAGATTTCAGAGAAGTTCAAGAAGGAGCTGAAGGAGTCCTGATTCTTTGCTAACTGGTCTGGAAGGTTGGATGTCTCCCCCATTCTCCAGCAACCATTGCCTTAATGCAGGGACAGATTTTGGTCTAACATTACATCTCTATGTCTCCAGGGAGATTAGACGTCTGCAATGTGTTTTGATGACCAAAAAACCAGATAAAGATATTTAGCCACTAACTTGGTGAGCTCCTGATTATTCCCCAATAATAGAAAATGTATGACCTTGAACTCTGGTTTCCATTTGGGGATGCAGAGTTGATCTAGGTGCTGGTTTTAACCCTTAAAGCCCTATACGGCCTAGGGTGTATAGGACGTATAGGCTGTATAGGCCGTATGATGTATGGAAGTGAGAGCTGGACCATAAAGAAGGCTGATCGCCGAAGAATTGATGCTTTTGAATTCTGGTGCTGGAGGAGACTCTTGAGAGTCCCATGGACTGCAAGAAGATCAAACCTATCCATTCTTAAGGAAATCAGCCCTGAGTGCTCACTGGAAGGACAGATCATGAAGCTGAGGCTCCAATACTTTGGCCACCTCATGAGAAGAGAAGACTCCCTGGAAAAGACCCTGATGTTGGGAAAGATGGAGGGCACAAGGAGAAGGGGACGGCAGAGGACGAGATGGTGGGACAGTGTTCTTGAAGCTACCAGCATGAGTTTGACCAAACTGCGGGAGGCAGTGGAAGACAGGAGTGCCTGGAGTGCTCTGGTCCATGGGGTCACGAAGAGTCGGACACAACTAAACGACTAAACAACAAGAACAACTTTGAGTAGGTACCTGTATAAATATAGATTTTATCATCATCATTATTATTATTTGTGCCCCCTTGGCTCACTGCCTCTGTGCTGTGGAGCCACCTGTATTGCCCTAAATCCAGGGCTGCTTAATGCTTTACAAGCTGTTTTTTACTATGATGAAAAAGCCAGGCATCAGTTAAATCAAGTACAGGGGACCTATGGCCCTCCACATGCTGGACTCCACCTCCAGTCAGCCCCAGCCAGCATAACCAATAACCAGGGATGATGGGAATTGTCATCCAGCAGCATCTGGGAGGCCACAGCTTCTACATCCCTATCTTGAATGAAATTCAGAATTTGGTACCAGACATACAGACATACAAGAGGAGTGTGCACAGCTCTGGGAGGGTTGCACTGTGCCAACCCTTCCCCCTCCTTGCATAACGAAGAATGATAATGCTTTAATATTACTAAACACAAGAGACTCCCCAAAGCTCATGTACTGTTTATTGGTCAGAGAGGAGCTCTCTCTTTCCTCCTGTCCTTGAAGTCTCTTGAGGACTGCTAAGCAAAATAAAAGTGTGATCTATTGAAGAAGCAGGTAAGGTTATAAATAGTGTTTGCTTTCTTGCTCCAGAGAGAAAGCGGTAAGAAATCTGCTAATATAAAAGAGCAAATGAATGCAATGCCATGATAAGAATGGGTTCCAATTCATTTTTATTTATCCACATGGGAAACGATCCATTCTTAGCGTCCACGGTTGTCTTATAGTTGTGTATCCCTCCCTGAGGTTGTTTGCCTTTTGTCCATGTGCCAGCTTCAAAGGTCAAGCATCCAGCCAAAGAGATTGACCAACATTCAGCGCCCTAAAAGTTTCATAATGCAACCGTTGTTTGACTGTCGTTGACTCGCAGGCGTTTCCCACTTGCGGCTTTGTTGTGGACTGAAATGGGCAGCTTCCCAATGTGTCTGAGTAGGCAGTGTCTCAATTTCAGAGCTAGGAGGAGGCGGGCAGTGGTGCCACCGCCACGCAACTATGCATTCTTGTGGCCATTTCTAAAATACTTCCAGGATGAATGTTCACACAGAGAGTTTTTGCAGTTGCTTAAGAGAAGAGCTGCACATGAACAAATGCTGCTGGCATGAAGGAGGAATGTAGGTGTGGCTCACACACATGTTAGCAACCATTTTACTTCTCTGCTCTCTAATTAGTAGTGGATTGTGGGGTGGGCAGCAGTGCTCACTTGCCCATGCCATCACTGCATAGTGTTTGTAAGTAATTTTTATTTGATTTTACAAGTGTAAAATTATAACAATATCAAATACATACTCAGGTTTAGAGATTCTCCTGAATCTCAAGACTTCCCTCCATCCCTTCCATGGGTCCTATTGTCATCTTTTTCAACTGCATATTATTTAATCATCCCTATTTTAAATCTCTCCATAGTATCCGATGTATTTGTTACCTTACAAGTGTTGTTAAAATCCTGCTAATGTTTTCATTTGCTTACAGTGGTCTTTTAAATAAATTAGAAATATTTCCTATTCTTTCTTAAAACTTTGGTCTTCTTGGTTCCTGAGCCTTCCGGCCAGTTTTGCAATTTCGGCGTAGTCCAACAGCTTAGTTTGCCATTCTTCTCTGGTAGAGACTTTATCTTCTTTCCATCTCTGGGTTAGTAGCATCCGTGCGGCCGTCATTGCATACATAATTTTTTTTCCTGTTCCTTTGGAATCTCAGTACCTACAGTTCCTAATTAAAAAAAATGCTTCTGGTTTCTTTATAAAGGTTATTTTAAACATTTTTTTCCCAATTCGTTAATTATCAGTTCCCAGAATGCTTTTGTTACCTTACACGTCCACCACATATGATAAAAGGTACCTTCTTGTTCTTTACATTTCCAACAAATATTTGTACTTGTCTTATACATTTTTGCTAATTTAGTAGGAGTCAGATACCATTTATACATCATTTTCATATAATTCTCTTTCAATGTACAACATGCCAAAAAAAAAAAAATTAAATCTGTTTTCCATAACCTTTCCCAATCAGAAAGTTGAATATTGTATTGCCCTGAATATAAGCCGCACTTTCCCTCCAAAATCCGACCTTGAAAACTTAAAGTGTAGCTTATACGGCCGGCACTTTCTGGATCTCCTGCCCTCAGGCAGAAGATATAGAAGCATGGTTAGTCGCACCAACAGGGTAAAGAACAGCTTCTATCCGTGGGCTGTTAGGCTGCTGAATGAAAAGATAACAACAGGGCAACTGACTTTCGGGTTTGGTGGGTGTGCGTCAGTAAATGAGGGGAATTAAGACTAAGAGAGCTGGGGGGGTGCTTGTGTAATCACACTGTTGTACAAGTGACAATAAAGTACTTCAATATTTCAATATATTCGCGACCTTATGGTATGCAGCCAGGAGTGTGGCGAAGCAGTGCCCGCCCCACACGTAGTCTCCTATCCTTTCCCCCAAGGCTGGGAGGGGAGAGAGTGAGGAAGGGGAAAGGCCACAGGCAATGCAGTGCAGTCCCCCCCTCCCCAGTATGCAGCCAGGAGCAGCGAGAAATGGAGCTGCTTGTATTGGGGTGTTTTTTCTTTTTTTCTCCCTCCCTCCAATTTTAAGGGTGCGTCTTATATTCAGGCCAATACGGTATTATGCCCCAAATCCCTTGCCCAGTGCCACCACACCAGTGCTAGTGTGGTGTAGTGGTTAAGAGCGGTAGTCTAGTAATCTGGTGAACCGGGTTCGCTTCCCCGCTCCTCCACATGCAGTTGCTGGGTGACCTTGGGCCAGTCACACTTCTTTGAAGTCTCTCAGCCTCACTCACTTCACAGAGTGTTTGTTGTGGGGGAGGAAGGGAAAGGAGAATGTTAGCCGCTTTGAGACTCCTTCGGGTAGTGATAAAGCAGGATATCAAATCCAAACTCCTCTTCTTCTCTTCTACTGCGTCAGAGA